CCGATGCACTACTGGGCTCCTTACATGTCTGCACTCAGTAAGAGAGCCCAAGAAAACGCTCAACACATGGCCCAGGAGCGGCGCGGAGCCCCGTGGTTCTCAGCCCACATTCTGCAGGCAGACTGACTTGGTTTAACTTCCAGCTCTTCCATTTACTAGTTACGGAGGTTCTGTTATTAGGTGTTTATTGTGGCAAAAACATACACAAGACACACTACCGCTCAACAATCTCTACACGTCCAACTCAGCGGTTTGCTTCCTTTTATCCTGCTGAATGCCACAATCGAGGCACCCTGGGGGCATTGTGGGTTATGCACTGGGCTTTCTACTCCGGTCAAGACGGAAAGTCTTGGGAACCCACAGGCGCAGTCCTACTCCGTCCTGTAGGGTCACTATGAGTTGGGATGGACTCAGGGCAGTGAGGCTGGTTTTTGGCTAATGGCACAATCGCACTTCACATTTGCTCACCAGATATCCTGTGCTAAGCACTGTTGTGTGGATGCTCTCCCATAGTGATCATAACTGCATGAAACTGCTATTAGCATCTTTTATCAAGGCAGAGAGGACAGACTTGCAGAAGTCAGAATCCTGTCTGCCTCGGCAGTCTGACTCCCCAGACAGGTGAAAATGGTTCTATCTAGCAAGTGGCTGAATCGTGGTGTTGCTAGGGGCAGTGTACAGAGAGGAGCTCTCCATAATGGGGTGGAGGGAAGCTAACCTAGTTTGCATGCCTAACAAACCAAATCAGGTGCTGGCAGGTGGCTTCTGACGCATGGAGACCCTGTGTGTTTCAGAGTAGAAACATGCTCCCTAAGGTCTCCATGCCCGTGCCCTTTCAGAAGCAGGCCTTCAGACTTTGATAAATATTGACAAACATGATACACTTCTTACCAGACGCCTACAGAGAATGCCATCTGATTTTGATTTCATGCTTTAGGGATGTGAGGTTCATAGATGCAAAAAGGAGACCTGATGAAAAAGAGGAAGGAAGGAAGGAAGGAAGGAAGGAAGGAAGGAAGGAAGGAAGGAAGGAAGGAAGGAAGGAAGGAAGGGGAAGGAAAGGAGTGCCATGAACACGGCAGGACCAGAGGTACCTGGGGAGTGGGAAAGGATGCAGAAAAGCAGTGTCATTCCGGTTACTGCTGAGAGGTGGGCCTGGCTTCCCGGGGAGATAGCAGCACAGCCGGAAAGCACACACTGACGCCCTCCGTGAATCCCAGAGGAACAGCTGCTCTGAGGAGCCACTTCCAGGCTGAGAGGGCGCTGGGTAAAAAGGCGCAAGCAGCACCCACCAGAGGCAGTGTCTGGAGCTCACCAATGGGCTCT